TAGTTACTCAGGAGGCTGAGATTTGAGGATCACGATTGAAAGCCAGCCCAGGCAGGAAAGTCCATAAAACTCTTTTTTTTTTTTTTGGGGGGGTCCGGTCGTGGGGCCTGAACTCTGGGTGTGGGCGCTGTTCCTCAGCTCTTCAGCTCAAGGCTAGTGCTCTACCACTTTAGCCACAGCACCACTTCCGGCTTTTTTCTTTTTGCTTATGTGGTACTGAGGAATCGAACCCAGGGCCTCAGGCATGCAAGGCAAGCGCTCTACCACTGAGCCACCTTCCCAGCCCCATAAGACTCTTATCTCCAATTAACCAATAGAAAACAGAGTGGCGCTGTGGCTCAAGTAGTAGAGCGTTAGCCTTGAGCTGAAGAGTTGAGGAACAGCGCCCAGGCCCAGAGTTCAGGCCCCACGACCGGACCCAAAAAAAAAAAAACAAAACTTGGAAAAATATTCTATTCTTGATTAACTTGTTAATTTACATTCTCTTTTTATTTTTTTCTTTTTGTCGGTCATGGGGCTTAAACTCTGGGCTCCCTCAGCTCTCAGCCCAAGGCTAGTGACACTTCTAGTTTTCTGGTGGTTTATTGAAGATAAGAGTCTCATGGACTTTCCTGCCCAGGCTGGCTTTGAACTGTGATCCTCAGATCTCATCAGATCCTCCTGAGTAGCTAGGATTACAGGTGTGAGCCACCATGCCCAGCTTAATTTACATTCTCTTTAGTTCAGTTCCTTAATTTAATCTCAAAGTACAGCTTTCTATATGGTGTTAGGCAGATTTCCATTACTGTGACAAAACGTGATTTGAGGGGGAAAAAAAAAGGAAGATTTATTTTGGCTTATGTTTTTAGTCCATGATTGCTTAGTTATGTTGCTGATAAGGCAAAACATCACTGAGGGCAGCATTAGTAGAGCCAAGCTGCTTGCCTCACGGCAGGTAGGAAGCAGAGAGAAGGAAAGGACAGAGTGGAGTTGGGGCATCCTGGTATCCCCTTTAAAATCATGCCCTCAATGACCTACCTTCCTTGTCCTTCCTCTCAAATGTTCCATCACCTCTCAATAGTGTCCAGGCTGATGACCTAGCTTGTAAAACATGAAACTTTGTGGGACAGTTAATATCCAAACCATAATTTTGTCTAGTGGTACATGTCTACAGTTTGTGTGCCAGTCCTGGAGCTTGAACTCAGGGCCTAGGCATTGTCCCTGAACTTTTTTGCTTGAGGCTAGTGCTCTACCACTTGAGCCACAACTCCACTTCTGGCTTTTTGGTGGTTAATTGGAGATAGAGTCTTATCTACTTCTTTGTCTGGCTGCCTTTAAATTGTGATTCTTAGATCTCAGTTTCCAGCATAGCTAGGATTACAGGCATGAGGTACCTAGCTTGTTCCAATACTTTGAAGACTGAGGTGGAAGGATCACTTCAACCTGAAAGTATAAGACCAGCATAGGCATCATAGGAAAACTTATATCTCAAAAAAAAATCAAACCATTATGTATATGTGTATATATAAGTAGATATATACACACATATATTATTTAGCATCACTAATATTTAAATTTTAGTATAACTTGTTTATATTATCTTATTTAAATCTCAATAAACTTAATGAATTAGGTTCTAATATTGCCCCTATTTTTCATGAGAGAACTAAAGCATAGAGAAGTTAAGTAATTTGTTCAAATAAAGTACGAAGCTAAGCAGAATAAGGACTTCATCTCAGTTCTATCTAACTACAAAACTTGTTTTCAGTCATTTTCTACAGTTTCTCTTTCCATTCTTGGCACATTACTTTTTTCATAATAGCAAATGTCATTTCAAAAAAATTATATTCAGAAAAGTCACCATATCCTAGTTATTAAAAGGCTAACCTAATTTATCCATACCTCTGTACAATTCCTTTGAAAGTTTTTGAAGTTAGTGTCTCCAGGCAAAAATTTTAAGATCTAAAAGAAATATACATGAATAAAATTCTTTTCCTGCTGAAATAGAACAGTGGATGTTATCAGTGATTTGCCTCATTTTGAAACTGGAACTATCATCTGAGAGCCAATTTCCATTTATATAAAACTATATAATACTGTTTTTGATTAAAATTTCTGTAAAGTTATAGTCAGTTGTTACAGTTGAAAAAGTAGAAAATTTCAGTAAATTTCCTGCTGCTAATGGTTTCATTATAATAAAATAAATGGGTGGTCTGGAAAGGAAGAATGGAGAATATGATAATGGAATGTTAGAGGGAGGAGAAATTTAAACCAGGCATGGTAACATATACTTGTAATCCCTGCAAGGCTGAGGCAGGAGGATCATGAGTTCCAAAGTAGCCTGGACTACATAGATAATTGAAGAACAGACTTCACTACATAGGAAGACTCTGTTTCAAACAAAAGTAAACAAAATTCCAGGGCCCACGTCCATGATCCTATATTCAGGAGGCTAAGATTTAAAGATCACATTTCAAAGCCAGTGCAGGCAGGAAAGTTCATGAGACTCTGATCTTCAAATTAACCACCAAAAAAGCCAGAAGTGGAGCTGTGGCTCAAGTGATAAAGCACCAGCCTTCAGAGAAAAAGCTAAGGGTAGTCTTTGGGGGCTCTGAGTTCAAGACCCAGTACAAAAAACAAAAGAGGGCTGGGAAGGTGGCTCAGTGGTAGAGCGCTTGCCTTGCATGCCTGAGGCCCTGGGTTCGATTCCTCAGCACCACATAAGCAACAAGAAAAAAAAAAGCTGGAAGTGGCGCTGTGGCTCAAGCGGTAGAGCACTAGCCTTGAGCTGAAGAGCTGAGGGACAGTGCCCAGGCCCAGAGTTCAGGCCCCACGACTGGACCAAAAAAAAAAAAAAAAAAAAAAGAGAGAAAGAGGGGTTTGTAATGTGGCTTAGTGGTAGAGTGCTTGCCTAGCATGCATGAAAACCTGGGTTCAATTCCTCAGTACCACATAAACAGAAGAAACTGGAAATAGTGTGGCTCAAGTGGTAGAGTGCTAGCCTTGAGCAAAAGAAGCTCAGGGAGGGGGTGGGGGAGATGGGAAGGGATGGGAAGAGGAAACAAAGGAGGACGTAACAATGCTTGATAAGACATGTACTCATTATCTTGCCCATGTAATTGTAACCCCTCTGTGTGGTATTTTCACAATAAAATTAAAAAAAAAAAAAAAAAAAGAAGCAGCAGCAGCAGCTCAGGGACAGTGCCCAGTCCCTGAGTTCAAACCCCAGGACTAGCAAAAAATAAAAAGAGAGAGAGAAATTTAAAAACTATCTACTTTACTCTCCATATTTTAGAGCTGAGAAATTGAAAATTCAAACCCAGAGTATTAAACCAGGTGCTAGTGGCTCATGCCTGTAATCCTTGCTACTCAGGAGTCTGAGATCTAAGAACTGTGGTTCAAAGCTAGCCCGGGCAGGAAAGTCTGTGAGGCTCTTATCTCCAACAAACCACCAGAAAACCAGAAGTGGTGCTGTGACTCAAGTGGTAAGAGTGCTTTGCCTTGAGCTGAAGAGCTGAGGGACAGTGGCCAGGTCCAGAGTTCAAGCCCCATGACTAAGAACAAAAATCCAGAGTGTTAAAAGTTTCTGTATTTTCCAAGTTGTCATAATACTCAAAGTATGAGAAAAAAGTGTAAAAAAATTGTGTGAAATGTGATTTTCCTAAAAATTGAAAATATATTTAATCAATTTAAAACTTTGTAAATAAGAAAACCCCCAAATCCAAATAAAGATATAATATCTGGTAAATAAAAAGTGCTCAATAAGTATTTGGAACTAAACAAATGAAGAAAAAGATTTCATTGTTTTCATTTTCAAGTTCCCTCATAGTTTTTTAACTTAATTTGACATGTATTTTTACATTTGAATTATAGTGTCAATTTTTTTTATTATGTGACTATAACCTTTTAAAGTACCTATTAAAGTTACAACACATCTGAATAAGATTAATATTTTAAGTTTTTTTTTTTTTGTGTGTGTGTGTGTGTGGATCATGGGGCTTGAATTCTGGGCCTGGGCACTTGTCTCTCAGCTCTTCAGCTCAGGGCAAGTGCTCTGCCACTTGAACCACAACGCCACTTCTGGTTTTCTGGTGGTTTATTGGAGACTTACAGTGTTTCCTACTTGGGATGGCTTTGAATCTCGATCTTTAAATCTTAGCCTCCTGAGTAGCCAGGATTACAGGTGTGAGCCACTGGTGCCCGGCAGATTCAGGTTTTTGATAGCTTTCATTAAGAAAAGAAAGTGAAAAACATATAGCTCTTTGGCTGTGTAATGCAGGATTTTGTGTCTTCATTAGCTTTATAGTATATGTGTCTCTTAATATCAGATACATCTGCATGGTGGTTTGGTTTTGGTTTTGGTTTTTGCCAGTCCTGGGGCTTGAACTCAGGGCCTAGGAGTCTGTACCTGAGCCTCTGTGCTCAAGGCTAGTGCTCTACCACTTTATTCATAGCACCCCTTCCATTTTTTTTTTTTTTTTGAATAGTTAATTGGAGATAAGAGTCTCACAGACTTTACTGCCCAGGCTGGTTTTGAACTGTGATGCTGAGATCTCAGCCTCCTGTGTAGCTAGGATTACAGGCCTGAACCACTGGCACCCAACTTTATGGTGGATTTGACAGAGCTTCAGTGATTTTTAGAGATGTATTAAAATTTTAGCAATATATTACATTTTGATAGTGCTCGAAATACTTTTCTATTGTCTTTTGGTGCTATGATTAAACTCATAGCCTTGTGAATAATAAGCACAGCACACACTGTAATAACGTTATGCCCTTAGCATTTAGTAGTAAGAAAATTTTTTTTTATCCAGCTATATCTGGATGTAGTTCAATCTCTACTAAAACTTGGTGGTTTGTACATTACAGGCAAATATTTTGATTTCTTCATGTCTCAAGTTCCTCATTTGTAGGATGGGCTTAATATTTCAAATAAAATAAATTAATAAATAATAAAATACTTTTAGTTCCTGAGATATACTGAATACCCACTAAATGGGACCTATTAAGTTTGTATTGATAGCTTGGGCAGTGGCAGTATCATAGCCAATGAGGTTTATCTGAGGCACAATTATTATTGCTAATTGAAAACCTTCCCAATACCCTGCCATGATGCCTTGGAATATAATCGGCATTGGCAATTTTTGACAGTTGCTAAGGAGATTGAAAAAAAAAGATTATATTGATAGATAAAACAGTCTAACATTTAAGAACTTCCTATTATCCATTGTAAGCTCTCTCATTAACTGTAGGCAAAATACTAGAATGATTTTCAAAGGAATGTACAAATTAAGATCTTTAAAAGTGGGGCTGGGAAGGTGGCTCAGTGGTAGAGTGCTTGCCTTGCATGCATGAGGCCCTGGGTTCGATTCCTCAGCACCACATAAGCAAAAAGAAAAAAAGCCGGAAGTGGTGCTGTGGCTCAAGTGGTAGAGCGCTAGCCTTGAGCTGAAGAGTTCAGGCTCTAGGACCGGACCCCCCCCAAAAAAAATCTTTAAAAGTAACTAGACACAGTGGTATGTACCTATAATCCAGACTTCTTGGGAGAATCACTTAAACCCAGGAGTCTGAGAATAGCATGGGCAACACAGTGAAACCCCCCCATCTCAAAAACAAATAAACAAACAAAAACAACTACGATTAAAAAGAAAATCTGTCAATTGCATATGCCTGTAACTCTAGCACTTGTGAGGTAGAGAAAGGAGAGAATCACAGGTTCAAGGTTAGGCTGGGCTACATAGCAAGATCTTGACTCAAAAAATTAATTTCATTTTTAAAAATAAGCATTTTAGGACTGAGCTAGCTATGAATGCTTGCGTAGCTTGCACAAAGCCATAGGTTTGATTCCAAGCACTACCAAAAAAGGCTTTATTATAAAAGTTAGTAATTGTGTTACAGAACTTTCGTAAAACAGAGAAAAAAGAAAAGAGCATTTGTTAATTTTACCAGTTTTATGCTGTATTTCCTCCTTGTATTTTCTATCTAATGTAGATTATGTTTTGTAAAAAAAAATGTTTGACATTTTTATTTTTTTCATAGAGGTTTCGTATTAGATTGTTATTTTATTGGAAATTTCAAATGTATGACAAATCTCAAATATATTTTATGCAAAAATACTTTATTAAAGTCAAGTCAAAGAAAAGAAGTAGAGGTAAGTGTTTAACTGTTTTATTTCCTTTTTTTTTCTTCTTCTTATTTTTTGGTACTAAGGATGAACTCAGGACCCTGGGCTTGTTAGGCAAGCACTCTATACATCTCTTGCTCTTTTTACTTTATTTTTCAAATAGAATCTCCTTTTTATTCCCAGGAAGTCCTGCACCACACTCATTCTGTTTATGTTTCCTATCTACCTAGCTGGGATGACAGCTATGCAGTACCAAATATAGATTTATTGATTGAGATAAACTCCACTTGGGCTAGTTTTGAACTGGAATCCACCCAATCTCTGCTTCTACAGAAGCTGAGATTATAGGCATGTACCATCACACCTAGCTAAGCACAGTTTTTTTGTTGTTGACTTTCTTTGAAGTTCTCCTGTTGTAGGAATTTGAGTCACAGTTCAAACATTGTAAAATATGTATTGGGGAAATCACCCACATATCTATTATCAAATGGATAATCAAAATATGATACACATGAAATGGAATACATTTTAGTTTTAAAAAGAAATTCCATGAATGATAAACAAATGAATTTTAAAGACATTATGTGAAACAGGCAGTCAAAAAAGTAATAGCTGGGTGCTGGTGGCTCACGTCTGTAATCCTAGCTACTCAGGAGTCTGAGATCGGAGGAGTGCAGTTCAAAGCCAGCCTGGGCAGGATAGTCCTTGAGACTCTTATTTCCAATAAACCACGCAGAAAACCAGAAGAAAAAAAAAAAGGCAATATACTATTACTGTAACATTTAAATCACATGAAGTACCTAGAGAAAACAGGATGGAAGGGAAGGCAAGAGGAGTTTTCTTTTAATTGGTATGAAGGTTTGAGTTTTGTAAGATGGAAAAAGTTCTGAAGTTCAACAGTGATGATGGATGCACAGTAATATGGGTGTATTTAATGTTCCTTAACTGGACACGTAAAAATCTTGATGGTATATTTTTAATTTCTATTTTATAATTTTAGTTCCCCTCATATTAGAGAGATATACACATATTTAATAAATAAATAATAATGCAATAATAACAAAGAAAATCACTATCTAGCTCAAAAAATAATGTTTTATCACAGGAGTACCATTGTGTCCCTCGTTACAACCTTTCTTCTTCATAACCAAGACCAGGACACTAACATTTGCTTAAAAAAAAAAATCAGACTGTACAAAAAAAGTGTATTCATTACCTGGCTTACTGTAACCCCTCTCCAGGTCACCTTTATAATTAAAAAATCAGATTGTAATGTGATAAGACAATGCAAGAATATTTCTTAAATTTCGTTTTGTTAGTGGACAATAAACTTAAAAACTTTCAAGTGTTGTTTCTCCTTTTCCTTCACTCTTCAAACTCTTCTGGTTCCACAGTTGACCTCACCTGCAAAGTTTAATTAAAAAAAATCCTCAGTGTAGATTTTCATTCCTCCCTCTCTCTCTTGCCTCCAACTACAAAGAAACAATGATTTAAACCCTTTGTGCCCTTTTAGAAAATTACACAGATACCCCATTGTGGAACCCAATAATCCCTTCGTGGAAAGGAAGAGATTAGCATATGAATACAAAGCAAAATGAATCCAGAATACAAAATGATCTACTGAATTGTGAAGCTCTTGTATTCTTAAAAATGTATTTATTTCCTTTTTTCTTTTTGTATTGCCGCCCCTTTAGTGGTCTCAGGACTAAGGCAATTGAGTTTCCTCTCTGGTTACCCGGAAAAGGATTTAAAAAAAAAAAAAAAAAAGCCAACAGAGCCGGCTCCCAGCGCCCGTGGAATCTGCTACGCTCGACAGGAGCTAGCTTGCCGGCGAAGAGTGTAGAAAGTGCTGTTCGCAAACTGCGTGGTGAAGGAGAGAAAGCGACCAGAGAGAGAGCCATAATGCTGACGTTGAAGGCCCGGCCCTGTGAGGTTGCATAGGGTAAGTGGCGTTGGCCAGGAGGCAGCGGCGGAGGGGAAGGAAAGAGGATTTGGGTTGGGGGCGGGGCTTGCGGCACAGCGTGCCTCCTGATTGCTGGAGCTCGGCCGTCAATCTCACAGAATCGCTCGGTTAACCAGTGCTCTAGCGAGACGCGCTCAGCTATACTGAGAGAGCCCGGAGAAGTAGTCTCAGATCCTGACGGTGCAGCAGCCCGCAGCCTCAAGCCAGGGAGTCCCAGCCGCTTTTCAATGGAGGAGAAGCCCGGCCAGCCACAGCCTCAGCACCATCACAGCCACCACCATCCGCATCATCACCCCCAGCAGCAGCAACAACAGCAGTCGCACCACCACCACCATTATTATTTCTACAACCATAACCACAACCACCACCACCACCACCATCACCAGCAGCCTCATCAGTACCTGCAGCATGGAGCCGAGGGCAGTCCCAAGGCCCAGCCAAAGCCGCTGAAACATGACCAGAAACACACCCTCCAGCAGCACCAGGAAACGCCGAAGAAGAAAACAGGTCTGGGAGAGAAGACGAGTGGGGGAAGGGGCTTGGGGAAGGGGAGGGGGAAGGGGGCTGGGGGGGGGGGTGCTGAGGAGATGGGGGTGGGGCTTTCTGTGAAAAGCGTGGATGGGGTCGGGGCTTCTGTACCTCGCGGGAACCCGGGAGCACCCCCCCCTTTTCATCTTCCACCCCACCCCCAGTTCGGGCCCGGCCTTGGGGGTTGCAGCGCCTCTCCTTCCCCTCAGCATGGGAGAGGCCCAACCAGGCCGGCGTGACCTTCCCGGCCCCCACTCGGGCTGGAGGGAAACCCGCAGGCTCGGCCTCGGAAGTCGTATCTTAATACCCCTTCTCGGTTCACCTTCTGCCGCCTTGGAGTTGCCCTCATTTCGGGGTGCTGTGAGGCAGTGAACCTATCCCCCCCCCCTCCAAAAAAAAAAATCCCTCGAGGTGTAGGTAACTCAGGCAGGCCTAGGGAATCCCGGCTCGGGCGGTGTCGCGAGCCCCTCAGCAGACGCCGGGGCGTGGGGTAGGTGGGTCGAGCCGAGGACGCGTCCTCCCACAGCCGCCACCCCAGGCCCACCTGTGGCCTTGGGGTTCCCCCGTCTGAGGAGGTGGGGGCGGCTGGGACCCCTCGTCTCTCAGATTATCTCCGGCCCTGAATGCCTTTGTGGCGGACGTGGGGCTGGGGAAATGCCCTTCAGTCTGGTCCCCGAGCCGCCTCCTCAGGCCGGCGCCCCGGGCCCGCTCCCCCCGGAGCCGGCGCGGCTGGAATGTTCTCTCCTCCTCGCGGGGCCGCTTCCTGTCCGCCATGTTGGAAGCCGATTTCTGTCACCGACTCCGGCCCGCTGAGCGGGGGGAGGGGGGAGGAAGAGTGTCGAAGGGTACCCGGCGGCGGGGCGGAGCCGGTGACCCCCCCCCCTCCCGGACCCCCACCGCCCCACGCGAGCTCTCTCCACCTCCCCTCCCCGGCCCCACACTCCTTGCGGGGCGCCGCCGCCCCCAGTCCTGCCGCCGCCCCTCCCCCCGCCGGGTTGTGTAACCCGGTGGCGGCCGCGCGGCCCCGGGCGGGTCCCTGGGGTGAGGGGCGGGGGCGGTTGAGGTGGGGGAGGGAAGCGGCCACGAGGGGAGAGGCCTGCGCCCGGCCCCGCGCGCCGCCCGCCGCGTTTCCCGCTCCCGGGTGCGGCGGGAGGCGCCGGCGGTCGGGGCGGGGAGCCGGCCTCGAAGCGAGGCCGAGTGTGTGTGTGTGTGTGTGTGTGTTGGGGGCGGGGGGTGGGGGGGAAAGGACCGGGCGGCGGCCGGGGCCGGGGCCGGCGATCCTCCAGGGCAAGAGGGCCGGGGTGAGAGTTAACGGGGTCGGTGAGGGGATTCATTTTGGGTAGAGGCGGTGCCTGAGGCCGGGTGGGGTACCCAGCGGGAACCCAGCTCCCTGGTCACGAGTTTCTCTGCCACAGGAACCTCTTCTCCTGCCAGGTTCGTTCACGACTCCGCCTCTGAGGCTTTCAGTTGGGCCTTTTCCTTCCAGCAGCTCAATTTTCTTCAAAATGGGGGCAGGGGTGGGGGCACAAAACCAAAATCAAAACCCTG